GTTGCTATGGTAAATATATTTCCTATATTTCAGTCAAATCTACAAAAACTCCATCATTCTGTTTCACAACAAGCACAGGGAACTGTCAGTGACTGGAGGAAATGTTTGTGAGATGTTCCAGTGACCCATCAGCAATAGATTGTATTAAACGTGTCATCACTGGGCATTGCAACCTGTGGAAAATGAAAACTACAGCCAATAAAATGAAGTCCTGCAGCAGAAAATACAGTTTGTTTTGAATCTCTAAAGGATGAAATCCTATTTCTTCTCAATAAGAACACTTGCTGTGTTTCATTGGGAATTCTAACAAAGCTTGCACATTTCTATATCTATGAAGCTGTGCACATGCATTGTGAGTGTGGCTTCATATGGTGCAAACTCCACACGTCTAACCTTCATGATTCAGTAATTTAGCAGGTTTAGATACACTCCACGTCAAGCTGTCAGTCAAGCCTTAGCGACTGCATTTCCTGACCTTGCTGAGCCCATCTCAACATCTGTCCTCTAACCACAGCTGTCACGTATCACACACCAGCCAATACGTCTGAGTCCATTAGGAACAAAAGATGGAGCAGCTTCTCTGTTTGGCCTTAAGACATTTATTACCACTTTGTGTCAAAGTGGAAAAAAGGTTTTAGATGTTTTCACGATGTTGAGTATTTTCATTTTATTACATATAAAATAGAAAACTCCAGAAAACCTATTTACGTTGTAAAAGTTACCCTCAGGTGTTTGTTTTATGAATGTGTAATTACTCCTTTAGTTGTTATTCTGATCTGATATTCAGAAGTTGTCTAGGCCTGCTTGGGTTGCATTTTTGGGTTTTGACATTTATATAATTCTTGCTCTTCATAATAATTGTTGCTGTATTTTAGTCACCATTATTCTGTTCTACTGCCTCCTTCAGGTTTTCCCACCTTCACTCATTTGATCTCACACACCTGTTCTTCATTGGCTCACGGCCTCACCTGTTTCAGCTTCCAGAATTTGCTCACAATCCAACAGACGTCAGTCATTCAGTTGAATTCACTTCTCTGCAACCCAAACTTCCCATTTTGAGTTTTGATGGAAGAATACGTATTTTAAAGTGGAAATGAATAAAAACATCACTAACTTATGAAGATCAGGGAAGGCGTTTTGAAAGGGTTTAGGATATTTTCACTCTAATCCTAACCCTGACCCTAACCCACAAAACCTAGATGTGCCGGTGTAACACTTGCAAGTGAAGGGCTGAATACAGGTAGTGAACACAAATCTTGCATTTAATCGTATCTTACTTAAATTGCTTTCCTTTTTCTACTGTTTGGGAACATTTCTTGTAGATCACTTGCATTAAAATAAAACCAAGAAAATAACAGAGGATGGAGTTGTTGTGATGGTTTCTAATAGATATGTTTACATTGTCTGATTAAATAAATAATGACTCTTAGCCAAAGCGAAGTCTGTGTGATATGTAGCACAACTCTATTAGATCCCTGCATCAGTCTCTAGGAGCCTTTTCAATATCTGAGTTAGGGTTTGTAAATCCGCTTCAGTCTGAAAAAGGAAAGTCTCCAAGGCAACAAAGTCATTTGCTAAAATCACCTAATTAAAAAAAGTAAGACAATTTGCCTTTTTAAAATGCATTCAGTTAATTTCTCTTTTAATATTGTAGAAAAAATATTTTCAACAAAATATATTATCATAATTGAATGTGTTGTATTACAAACGCAAGTTTTTTATATTTTATGTATCACTCTGTTAACTGTCTGACAGGGGGTATGAAAATGACTAACAAGGTGAAAAACAAAGTTGAATTGAAAGTATTAGTTTTTTTGTTTTACTGCCACATGTGTACTTCACAGTTCTGCATTCCTGACATTGTGTAAAAGAGCTGTCATTTTAATACAAAAACGTTTGTATACATACTGTACTGTTTTATTTATTTATTTATTTTTTGGTGGGGTGGAATGAGCATGCCTGCTGAGATCTGCATGATCTGTTGTGGGAAAGTGTAAATAAATATTTTCTAATAAATTAGTAAAAATTAAAAAAAAGACTCTGACACTTTGTTTGGAGAATTTTCTGCTGCTTTCGGTCACTAGATCATCTCTGAAGATGAAAGTGAATACAGCCTTTTCAGTGGCTGGCCCAAAGTTTTGGAAGGTGCTTCATCTGTCCATAAGGTCTTCTACTTCTGTGGCAGTTTTAAAAACAAGGCTAAAGACCTACTTTTATGATTTGAAGTTTTTGTCTCATTGTTAGTTCTTTTATATAAATTATGCTACTGTTTTCATTCTGTCTGTGTTTTTTTTTTCCCGTTTTGATTGATTTTATTTTCTTCGTGAAGCACCTTGGTGCCATGTTCCATGTCTGTAAGGTGCTATACAAATAAAGGATACGTTGAGTTGTTTTATTAACATGTTTCTTATCCATTTGCTTCTTTTCAAAATGATAGTTTATGGGCAGATAAATAAAATAAAAAATATATAATAAAAAATAATAAATCTTTAAAATGTTTGTAATTTTGAGTCATATTCAAAATAATATAAAAATACTCACTAAGAGTGTTTAAATAAAATGTGTCAAAATGCTAATATGTTATCATATTTCATCATATTTCCAGTGAAAAACTAAGGTTTTTCAGAAACTTGAATTAAAAAACTGTTCACATTATGAATGTATTTAAAAGATCCTCACCGATCATAATTCTAATAATTTACTGCAATTTGTGGTTTTGGCGACTGAGCTGTTTTCAGATGAGCTAACAACAAATCACCACTAGGGGACGCAAACTTACCATTCTTATGCATCACACAACTTAAACCCGATGGACCAGAAGCAGAAAAATTGTTCCAAAATCGTGTTTAATATTCACCAATACAAGCTAATTCAGAAAGAAAGAAACAAAGCTAATTTCATGAAGTCAAAAGCATTTACTCTGTCTTACCTTTGCTGGTTTACTGTTGTAATAATCCGTGTTATAGAAAAAAAAAACTAAATAAAACTTTTATTTATTTATTTTTTTCATTTTTTATCATTTTCTGATTCTTCATAATGACATAATAACAAAACTCCCCAGGGTGTACTCAGCTGCTCTAAAACAAACAAAGAACGGTGAAACCTTTGCCCCCAAGTACTCTCCTAATCTTTGTATTGGAGGGGGCATCCAGCGTGACACCGGTTAGCATATCTATGGTAAAGATTGCTGCACCCGAAACGAACAGGAAATGTGTTACGAGATGATTCAGTCATGATAAAAGTGTGAAAAAATGTTTAAATAACACTTCAATGCAGATTCAACTCAGCACTTATAGTCTGTATGATTTATAGATACTTTATTTTCACCTTCATATTTTTTTGCTGTATATTTTGTGATTCCTGTCTTCTTCTTCTTCTTCTTCTTCTTCTTCTTCTTCTTCTTCTTCTTCTTCTACTTCTTCTTCTTCTTCTTCTTCTTCTTCTTCTTCTTCTTCTTCTTCTTCTTCTTCTTCTTCTTCTTCTTCTTCTTCTTCTTCTTCTTCTTCTTCGTCCTGTAAGATTGGCGGGGTGGTGCCCTTGTACACCTATTGATGAGCCGCCACTAGTTGGTGATCTTCTCATCTTCTAATTTAGGTTTCAGGAGAAGGAGTAAATCCATGATGTGATGAACTTACAACAGCTATACTTATGACTCATGTCCTGCATTTCACCTGCATGAGAAAGTGTTGATTTGCAGTCGTAAGTATAAATCCGTCACTAAATCCAAAATTGAAATGGCAGAAGGATGTCAGTTTAGATGATGACGACCTGTCAGCGAAAGCTGGCGGGGGTTAATAAGGGCATAACTCAGAGACAGCCTGAAGACACTGAAGTCAAATATCTAACATTTTTGTGTTGTGAGACAAGATACGTCAAAGATCTGAGACTCTGCTGAGCCTCAGCTTCGGTAGCTTACTACAACAGCCAGCCCGCCCACATCCCCAAAACTTTTCCACTTGGCTTATTTGACTTCTTCCCTGCAGGAAAAGATGAGTGCAGTGTGCCCTTGCAGCTTCAACAGAATAAAAAAATCTAAATTTATCTATTTCCTTTTGTGCATTTTGCAGGTAATGATAAGAGCACAGTTCTGAAACGAGCGTTCGTCGGCAGCCAGGGGACAAAGCTAGGGTGGCAAAACAAACATGATGTTGGATTTGACAACAAAAGGAGAGACAATGTAAAAGATTTAAAAAGAGGGAGTAAAGGGACACACCTTGGTTAGCTGGAGTCCTAGTGAACCGTCTGATGACAACTCTCTTTAGGGGGATTAGGAGAAGATCTTATAACAAATAGATGGAGGGCGCAAACCTGCCCTTTCACATTGCTCAATCTTGATTTAGATTGTTCACGAAATTCAGAAATAATTCTTATTGGTTGAAACACACAAGTAACAAAATTGTTTGCATTGTATAAAACATTGAAAGACTGGACATTAAATCATGTTTAAAAGCTGCTCATAAAAAGATGAGGATACATTCTGCTGCACTATGTCATGATGCAATCACATCCAGCGTCCGCGCGTGCATATGTGAAAGTCTGTCAGTGCCGAGATGACAGCAGTGACTAGTCAAGGATTGAATTGCCAATTCCAATACACCTAAAGAGCCCAGATCTCAGCCCACTGATTTAATTCAGGTAGAATTGGAATTGACCCAAATGAAACCAGCGGAGTGGAGTGAAGGTGGGGAGGATTGGGGCTGACGTTAATCCCTCAGAGGTTTGAACAGTGAAACCGCGCTCCTTGGAATGTGATGAAGGGGGGATTGGGCTTTGAAAATGGTGCTGGTGGAGACTTTAAAGGGAGGAGGGCTGGTATCACTGTCAGATTACAGACAATTTATTCATGAGGTTAGCGGGTCAACCACATCTCCATCAATCCAAATGGTTACCCAAACAAAAACATCATTTTCAGACTACTTTTTGTTGAGTTGTGAAAAACAGAATCAAGATACACAAAAAAAATAAATTGTTACACATCTATATAAATATATGCAACTCACCATTGCGGACAATTGCATTAGGCTGTGTTGGAGAGAGGTTGTCAGAGCTGTCAGTTGTTTCATAGAAGGACTGAGAGATCCGACGTTCATGAGGGTTAGCAGGAAGCTCCAAAGGTGGCGGGCTGACAGGGACCTCCTAAATGAGGACAGACAGATGTCGAGATCAGACACGCTTCTTTATAATATAACAGAAAATAATGCTTCAACATCAGAGCTAATATCAACATTACACCTTTCTATAAAAGCCTTGAAGGTTTGGTTAGCAAATGGACTTTTCTTGTTTTCCTTCAAGATGTTTCGCCTCTCATCCCAGGGATGCTCCGATCGGGATTGGGAAGAAAACATCATATTCGACCATTTAAAACCACAAATGTGACATTTTAAATTCATCCTGAGACAGAGATTTTCAATGAATAACAATGACTTAGTTGTAATTTCAACAAGTTCCTCTACGTCAGTATTATTTGTATCTGTACGAAAACAACACAGTAACATCACATAATTTACAGCAGGCAGGGATTCAGACACCAAAGTGCAACTGTTAGCAAACAGGCTAACACAAAGCTAACGTGTCTCCTCAGCAGAGATAAAATGTCTGCAGCTTGTTGGCATTTTAAGCTGGACATTAAAGGCAGAGCAAAAGCCACTTGGTGCATACTGGGCACACATGCTGGACAAGCCACAGCGCCACGCTGCCTTCATGACTACTTTAACATTTGGCTTTTACCTTTGGGCTTCAACTAAGTTAATCACCGGTCTTCATTAATTCCCAGTTTGCCACTAACAGTCCCAGTTCACCAGCCTGGCCTGCCAGACTTGTCCTCTGTCTACACAGAGGACAAGTCTGGTTACTCAGACAGAGAGGCATATGAGGGGCGGGACTAGCCAGCTCAAAAATGACCAATCAGAAAAAAGGCGGAAATTCCAACTGTACCGTTTCTTTAGCTGTAGTCAAAAATGGTGACTGGCGACAGCGCACACATCTTTCTTTAGAATAAAGGCTTTTAGTGCCCCTTCTTTTTGTGGTTTTAAAGACATATCCAAGTCAGTTGGAACAGAGGAAAGAGCCACAGCGAACTCCACTTCAGACTCCATGTTTATGAGAAACTCAGCATAGCGGTGTGTGACGTACGCTGCTCAGTGCTGATTGGCTGGGTTAGAATTCGTAGAGGGTGGGGTTATTTGAATGGGAGAGTTTCCAGACCAATTGCTTCCCATAAGGAAGCATGGGTCTGGCTGGCCAGGCTACCAGTTCAAAGCGAACTCAGACAAAAGCACGAAGACAGTCAACAGAGAAAGTTATGCTAATGAATAAAGAGAAATTGCCAACAAACTACAAAATGTTGTGTCCTGTAGCACCAGAGTCGTGCAATAGCTACAGCTGTTATGCAGGGAAAAGGTAGCCTGCGTGCCTGCTCCGTCACAAGAACATGCATATATGCATAATGAGAGAGGAAACATCTTGAAATAAGAGCAACACTGCTACTTTTAAATATATTCATAATATAAACTTGTTTTTTAATCAGTGCACTTCCCAAACAAGTGAAAGTGAAACTTAAAGGACAACTTGGATGTATTTTCTTCTTATTTTAATGCTTTTCTGAAAAGTATCGGATCGGGACTCTGCATCAGCAGACACTCAAAATCAAATGACTTGGAATCAGATTGAGAGCAAAAAAAAAAAAGGGATTGGACCTTCTGAAACTTAGGTTGGGAAAGGAGGCTTTATTTTACTTTCGGACACCAATCAAAAGGTAGAGCGTAATCCCATTTTGTGAGATTAGAGCAATGTGGGACACCTGGTCACCCTGACACTCCCATTTTGTGTCCTCAGTACCATTTAACTCTGTTTTTACTAATATATTCATTAGAGAAACAGAAAATTTGATTTGACTATGGTGCTAACACAAATATGCTTCAGTTAGGATTTGTTTAAAAAATGTACAAAAAAAATATTTCTAATACACAAAAAGTCTGTGAAGGATGTGAAACGATATAAACTATACATATCAGGAGAGCAGGGGTCGTGTCATCGATACTCCAAAAAGATGGCTCCAAGGCTTTGATATCCATTTCAGCTTTAAGCTGGTATTTTCTGGTTCAGCAGTGTGAAACGGGTCCAGCAGGAGTCCAAGCTGGTTGAAACTCCATGGATTTCCCATCAGCCAACAGACAGCTGTCGCTAACAATGAGTCGGAGTAAAGGGACCAGTGACATTTGCCATGTGGTCGATGTTCTGCACCGCTAATCTTTGAGCCCATACACTCATTGCATGTGCCAGTCCTTACAAGGTGGACATAGATACACTTCTACTCCACTGCCCTCTAAGAGTTTCACTTTAACACATTTGAGCTGTAATATTATTTAATTTTACATTATTCACTGCACCTTGATGAACCTCTAAAGCACTTACCGGAGGCAGTCTGACACTGGATTATTTTAATAGTCCATAAAAACAGAAGTTCAAATACTGTAGATGTGGAAAGGGCAGATAAAGAAGAGGATTGGGAGCTGAGAATAAACAAAGTGTACAAAACACAAAGAGAAGGGGGGAATGGGATTGTTGGTGCTTGGGCTTCAGTGAACTGCAGTGCTGCCATGTGGCCTGTCTGCAGGAGCGCTGTGTGGTGCCATTGGGGAGTTATTCCAGAATAAAAGGTTTAATACAAATGAGGGGTTTAATGTGGCTGAAAGAACAAAACTTTTATCAGAACAGCATGTTGATAAGAGCGAGCAGGGAGAGAAGCAGTGCCTGTGCATGGCTGGGTCAACCCAATTACATTCACAGCCATGGTCACTGCCAGCCTTTTAATAAAAAGCATGTCCCTGGATAAATTAGGCCCAATAAGGTTCAAATCGTCGAAATTAAGATTTATTTCACTTGCTCTTTCCCTCTTATTCAACTGTTCTCTGCAGTTTTTAATACGTTTCGATCTTTGGCTCATTGTGAGCTGAACAGAAGTAAAAAGCTTTCTTATGCAAGGAGGAAATCATGTATAAAGTGAATCTAGTGGCAGCTGTGGCAGTGTCTCTGAAAGCTGGGGAGGGTGACTTTAAAAGATGGAATGAGTAAAACAGGGATCCTTTTTGTATTTAGTATTAATTAGGTATGCTTTTCTGCATGTTAAAGCTTTGGCACTCTCCATATTTACTGACTTGACTGTTTCCCTGATGAAGCCAGTCTACAACGTGAACTTTGACAATACCACATAAAATTTACTCAACTGACAACCTGATTTAATTTGATTAATCAGAAATCACCTGTTAATGCTACGGGTGAGTGTGTGTTAGCAGAAGGATGTGATTCTTAAAATGACAAAATGAAAGCAAAGCAAAGAGGTAACTGGTAACTGGGGCGATGGTGGCACAGGAGTTAAGTGCTCGCCCCGTAATCGAAAGGTTGCAGGTTCGAGTCCCGCTCAGTCTGTCGCTATCGTTGTGTCCTTGGGCAAGACACTTAACCCACGTTGCCTGCTGGTGGTGGTCGGAGGGACTGGTGGCGCCAGTGCTCGGCAGCCTCGCCTCTGTCAGTGCGCCCCAGGGCAGCTGTGGCTACATTGTAGCTCATCCCCACCAGTGTGTGAATGTGTGTGTGAATGGGTGAATGACTGATTGTGTTGTAAAGCGCCTTGGGGGGTTCCAGGACTCTAGAAGGCGCTATATCAAATACAGGCCATTTACCATTTTACCATTACTTCATAATTATTGATCACATTTTATGCTAATTGATAAGTTATCAAAAAAACAACAACAAAAAACTTGGTAACGTCTCATTTTATGAGTCCAAAATGGCAAACTAAAGCATCTGACTGGTCTAAAAGTCAGATTTTAGTGTTTTCCTAATCTTTCCTGAACATGAGCTCTCCCCGTGCATTCTAACCATCTTAATCTAGTCATTTTCTGAGGATTTTCCTGCTGATTGAGGTCGAGGACAGAGCATGGTGACTCACTGAACTCAGACCCTGTCCACACGTAGCCGGGGATCTGCCAAAACGTAGATATTTTTCTAAGTTTTGGCCTGTCATCCACACGAAAACGGATATTTTTAAAAACTCCGGCCAAAGTGAAGATCTCCGTTTTCTCCGTTTTGGGTGTCTGCGTGTGGAAAGACAAAACTGGAGTTTTAAGGTCCGCAACGTCACTTTCCGCGACAAAAAAATGCTGACATCACGTGTGCGACCTGTGTTTACACTGGCCGACAGCATGGACGCCCTCAGAGCTGCGCTCGCTTTATCAATTGTCCAAGTGCTTTTTGCTTGTTTGTTTTGCAAGCAGAATTACTGCTCCTTGCGGAAGACCACAGACGAAGAACGAGGTTAAGAACGGGGGAAGTACTGCCGCCTACAGGTCTGGCATGTCCTTAACAACGTATTTATCCGGGTACGTGTAGACAGAGTTTTTATTTAAAAATGAGGTGGTGTGGATGCAAGTGTTTGGAGGGGTGGATATTCGTTTAAAAAAAAACCGGCTACGTGTGGACTAGGCCTCAGTCAAAATCAGCTTCCACTTAGCTCCTGCGGGACTGGATGAAAACGTCCTGATGTCTAAACACTTTGTTTAGTTTATATAGGTGTTAAAACAGTGTGAAACCAAGTGAGTAAAACTGGGTTTAAATGGAATTGTTTAAGGTTGATAGTCATTAACTAAACTTCTGTTGTATGTTCATCTTGTCATTTAAAACAACAGTCAAACCAGATATTAATACCTCCCCTCCAGGTTGACCCGCGCTGGAACCTTTATTCAGTTCTCTGAACAAGGGTGCCATAATGCTGATGCACACAAAAGACATGAGGCATTTTGCTGTAAACAAAGCAGAGTGAGTCTAGACCAGTGATATTCGATATTGGTTCTTGAAGGCTACTACGTGCATGTTTTCCATGTTTTCCTGTACCACCACACCTGTTAAAATAAATTTGCATCTGACGAACTGAAGAACATGCAAAAGAGATGATCCACAATCAGCTAAAACAGGCAGGACAGTAGTCCTTCGGGACCGGGGGGGGGGGGGGGGGGGGGGGGGGGGGGGGATGTCTGGCGTTCTGGTGCAGCAACAACAACCTGGAGCTGAACACACAGAAGACAGTGGAGAGATGGTTGTGGACTTCAGGAGAATACCTGCTCCACTACCTCCAATAA